AGCAGAGTGGCAGTTTGAAGCCTTAGGGACCTGGCAGTATCATGCTGCAAGAGGAATGATTTGGCTATTGGCCTTCTTGTGCCACTGTAACTACGAGCTTGCCATCTTCTTCTGAACCTGCGGCAGAGAAGATAAGAGGCTGGTTGGATACAGCTCAAGTATGAGGCACTTGAGTCTTCCTTATTTATTTTTCTCCTAACTTGCTAGCTACTTGTGCAGAAATCTTCATGCAACTTCTTGCAAATTCATGCAAATATGGTGTTTGTTCAGATCTGCTTTTGCAGAGCTCGCTGGGACTAAGCAAAAGGAGCTGTACTTACCAAACTGCTCAAGTATTCGATGGGCTGCAATACCTCTTTGCAACAGGATGAGGGCCTCAGTTCTGTATGTGTGGTCAGTTTAACAGAGATCTTAGACTTTGTCTGGTTTTGTTGCTGTTCTCTTATAAAAAAGTATTATTTAAAATAGAAAAATATTAGGTTATCTCAAATAAGCGGTGGGCTAGTAAATGCACTTGGGATTTCATTAGGAAAAGGGTAGGTGATGTTAGTGTGTGAATAGCTGCAGCTGGAAGCTACAATTCCGGATAATAATATTTTGTCTGTTTTGGTTTTTTTCTCTCTTTAAAGCTACTGTTCAAACACTTAAACATCAAAGTCTTCCTTTCTACACATTATTCATTCTTGCAAATGTCTCGTATCTTGCAGTAAAATGATCAGAAGGGTATGTCTCTTTAGATATGGTAAGTCAATCTTGTGTCCTTTTGGAAAAGTGGTTGGGAATGACTTTATAGTCATTAACTTGAATTCAATATATTTTTCAAATCTAAGCTTCTTTAGATGCAAAAAACTTACAAGAAACTTTTCAATCGCTTCTCGCCTCTCCCCCAAAGTAAAATCTTACTTTGTTTCATCAGCAAGCCAGTTCCTTCATCTCCTTCTAGGGACATTAAAAGGAAACTCAATAGAAAACATTTCATAAAATACTGAAACTCATGTTGACTTATTTGAGTATGTGCCCACCATACCTGGGGCTTCACAACAGAGGGCATGGTGATTTCAAGGGTTCTGCTACAGAATGGTACTTTGTAGGTCTGCCATGGCCTCTTATAACTTTTTCCGACCACTTCTGGGAAAAACCTGAACTTAGGAAGTGTCCTCATGGTGATGGGTATCTTGGTGATATTCAGTTGCTGCACAGTCTACAGCTTTCAGTAAAATCTAGTTCCTCTGTGTTGGCTGAGGTTAATAGCTCTGAATGAATTAGGGTCAAGCTGACTTGGAGTCTCTTGCCTTGACTAGTTACATGATGAGCTCTGCAGATAATGGCTGTAAGATTGATGCTTTTCTAAAGGTTCTGTTCAAAATCTTTTTGTTCAGTGTTGTTTGAAGTGAAATTTACTGTCTCTGACCTCAGTAGCAAAGCAGAGCAGGCTTGTAAATGCAGAAGCAGTGGAAGCTTTCTTCTGTATCAATATCTTTGTGCCAAGTTGAAGTGTTCTGCAGTTAACAGGAGTCAACAAAAGCAAAGAAAACTGTTGTGAGATCAACATTGTACAAGACCAATCACAGTTTCAAGGAGAGCCACAGACAATAGGAAGGTCTGGGTTTTATTCTGCTGTTGTCATTGCAGTGTTAGCTATTTGACAGTCCAGTAGCAGCCAGAAGTGCCCCAAGGCAATAAACCATCTTTACTACATTAGTGGAGATGCCTATGACAGGTGGCTAGTTTAGAGTGCTGACTGTTTTTAGAGTCTTTACCTCTGGCTACTTAACATCATCTTCAGCTTCAGCCAGCTGTCCTTTATCCAGGTGTTTATTCTGGGTGAGCACAGTGATAGCAGAGAGATGTAAAAGTGTGACTATGTATAGACTGTCACAGTATCTTGGTGTTTCTTTATAGCGGCTTCCTAATCCATCTTGGATGGTATGAGTGAAAACATGAGAAGTATGTGTAAAAAAAAAAAAGAGACTAATAGTGAGAGTGATAGCAAGAGAGAGAAACTGGATTTGTGATTTGGAATGGGATGCCAGCATCGCTTCTGGTTCGTTCATTGATTTGGAACAAGTTACCAATGCCTTCCCCTGTTGCCATTTGTAAGATGGGCTGGCAGCCTGAGCTGATTGGTATGGCTTCAACAAAAGCGTTTTCCCTGAAATCCAGATGTTGCATATATTGATTTTGATCTAGTTTTCATTTGGCAATAGAAGCCTTTCAGAGAGAAGAAAAATTGGAACTTGACCCCTTCTGGGCATGAAACAGTTGCTTCAGCCCAATGCTGTTTGTGTGAAAATGCAAAGCTTTTTGTTCCAATGCAAAAACAAATACATTTTCTAACCTTGCAATTTTACTGTACCCACTACTGCCATCCTTCAGGCAGCTCTAACAGTGTATCTTTTGTAACTTACTTCGAAATCCCTGAAAGAGCAGTGATTTAAAAGAGCTATCTGTTATGGGAATGGTGTTAGGTAAGGTTTCAGCTATGTAAGCAGATTTTCATGTTCTTCTGTACACACTATAGGCTATTTTTAAGCTGACCATTTAAGAACATTCACTTAGCAAAAGGAAGCAAGTGTTTGACCTAAGTCAATCATGGATGAAATCATGTCTTTGGAAGAGCCCATTGGAAACTGCAGTGATGCAAAAACCCCCTCATCAGAACTTGGTAAACTCTCTGAGGTAGTTGAAGGTCTTCTACAACTCTTGGGACAGCCTGTACACTCGTGTGGCAGAATCCAAACTGAATTCTCATGGCCAGCTTCTGAACTTGGAGTTTGTAATGGAAATACGGATCTAACAGATTCTTAACCAGAAGACCAGCAGGTGTAGCTATAATATATTAAATGCTGTAGAGACATGTAATAAGCTATGGTTGAGCATTAGTTCAATATGTTTTCTTAAACCAAAATGGTATTTTCTAGGAAAAGTAATGCTGTGACAGACTTGCAATAAGAATACTACTAAAATAATCAAAACACTGGAAAATTGCAGGTTCTGAGCTGCTTCTGCTGAACTGACTGAGAGTTTTACTATTGCCTCAGAGAAAGAACAGCTGGCACTGCATGTAGACAGTATTTATCTTTAGGAATAGAATGAAGTAACCAAATCCTGTATGAGTTCCCAAAGATATAACTGTTTGTAAGAGGTAACACTGCAGAAACCTGTGGCATCTTTTGGCAGGTATAAATTAAATTATGGTGAAACTTCAGTCTAGGCTTGCTCTGCATTGCTGATCCCTCAACACAGGTTTCATTAGCAAACCCCAAAAGACAAGGGAAGAATTCCTCTAAGACAGCAAAACGTCCTCGCAAGCAAATTCAAAGGTGAACAACAGGAAGGTCAGAAGTAAGACAGCAGAGAGCAGGTCTTGCCAAGTCACAGTGAATTCAGCCAGGTTGTAACTTTTGCTGCATTTTGAGCTTGGCAGCTCCCAAAATCAAGAAGGAAGGATGAAAGGGGAAAAACATAATCCAACCCTCTGAGAGAGATGGTATAGAAAGGAGGTCACTACGAACATGAGTGGAGAAGCTGCTCTATGAAAGGGCTTATTTGATGGGCATCGGTATCAAGCTTAGAGATCCTGGTCATTCTTCAGCAGTTGCTGGATGTGTGTGCCAGAGCCAGGGCCTAGGCTGCTTTTCCCCACCTGTGTATAATTCCATGATGGGAAAGACATGGACCTGTTGGAGTGAGTCCAGAGGATGGCCATGGAGATGATCAGAGGGATGGAGCACCTTTGCTCTGGAGACAGACTGAAAAAGTTGGGGTTGTTAAGCCTGGAGAAGAGAAGGCTCCAGGGAGACCTTAGAGCAGCTCCCAGTACCTAAAGGGGCTGACAAGAAAGGTGGCGACAAACTTTTTTGTAGTGCCTGTTGCAATAGGACATGGGGTAATGGTTTTAAACTGAAGAGGGGAGATTTAGACTAGATATGAGGAAGAAATTTTTTATGCTGAAGGTGGTAAAACACTGGCACAGCTTGCCAGAGAGGTGGTAGCTGTCCTATCCCTTGAAGCATTCAAGGTCGGGTTGTACTGGGCTCTGAGCAACCTGATCTAGTTGAAGATGTCCCTGCTCGTTTCAGGGTGGTTGGACTAGGTGACCTTCAAAGGTCCCTTCCAACTCAGAAGATTCTGTGATTCTATGATTATGTGTATGCTTGGCAAGAACTTCGCTTTCTCATGGTCCCAGCCACGTCACTTGCAGTAGGACCACTAGCCAGTGTTGTCCATCACATGCTACGAGTTCTCCCTGTTGCTGGGAGCACGTGAACTTGTTCCAGGTTGTTTCCAGTAGTGAGGCAGGTGGGGCTTCATCCCACCTTCGGGGCACCCCATGGACAAGGACAACCTTGGTCCTGTGCGTGGTCAGGAGCTGAGTCTGGTGATGCCTGGGCAGGACGAGGACTCTAGGTGGGCACCGAAGAGAAAATGGCCATCGGTGTCTTCCGTGGGAGAGAAGCACGGGACTCGCCTGGCTCCTCCACCGCTCCGTCGTGCTGAAATACAGCGGGGAGTGCCGGGGCGGCGCGGCAGGGCCCCGCAGGCCGGGATGCGGGGCGGGGCGGCGCGGCACGGCGGCTCCACCGTGTGCATGTAGATGAGATCCCCCGGAGCACGTCACTCCGCACCGGCGCTCTGCGTTTGGGGCGGCGGAGAGTGAGGGCGGGCGAGCGGGAGCGGCCGGAGGAGGAGAGGCGGCGGCGGCGGCAGCTCGGCAGGCAGCATCGCTCGCCCCCCCGCCACCCCGCTCCATGCCTCGCAGCCCGCCGCGGGGCGAAGGCGGGCGCCGGGCGGGGAGCGGCGCGGCGGTGCTGAAGGACAGCTCCGCTCCGCGCCCCTCCGCGCCGCCCCGCGCCCCGGGGCCGCTGTCCGCCGCGCCTTGATGCGCCCCCCGCTACCGCGCCCGCGGCTCCCATGGCGGTGGCACGGAAAATCAAAACTTTGTTGACGGTGAACATCTTGGTCTTCGTGGGCATCATCCTCTTCTCCGTGTACTGCAGGATCCAGGACCGCTCCCAGGAGCTGGTGCAGATCGTCCGGAGCGCGGACCGCCGGGCCAGGAGCCGCGGTGCCAAGGTGGGCAGCCTGGCCGACAGGGAGTCCATCCTGCAGCGCCTGGACCACCTGGAGGAAGTGGTCTACAACCAGCTAAATGGTACGGAGGGCTGGGAGGGGGGATGCAGCGCCAGTCCCAGGGTGCGCTGCGTCCTAGGAGGCTGCTGCAGATCGGGGAAGTGCTCCCGAAGTGAGGAGGGAAGCCCGAGCATCATACGCATTAACCCCACTGCTGAAAGGCTGAAAATGAAGTGACTGCAGGGTTTTGCTGGAGGGATTTGTTGAGCCCCCCCCTTCCCCCCCAACTCTCAGCCCAAAGTCAGGACTTCCTCAGTGGGTACAAAGTTAAGGAGGCTGCAGAGTTCCTGGGTTTAAGGGTTAGTGGAAGTTCCTACCAACTGTACCAGGTTTTACAGTTTGCCTGGATATATTAACTCTGCATGGTGTTTGTATAGCGAGTGCTCTGCTAGGTTATAGCTGGAAGTCATTTACTTGGTCTCAGAACTACTTTAAAAACGTTCTGCTGAGTTCTTATGCTGTGTACTTTTAATGGTCTATTTAAACATGGCACACATATGTTTCCTTAATGACTGCCATTTGAATTTGATATTATCTTTGGTGAGGAGGGGGAAACATCCACCACTTCTTTTTATTATGACATACTGTTCTAGTTCACCAGCTTTGAAAAGTCTTGGTAGGTAAGCAAAGAACCCTACCATTGCAGTTGGAATAGCCTAAGCCATAAAAGTTGCTGTAGGACGACTAACCTTTCGTATAGAAACTGATTCTTTAAAACAAGTGCATTTGTGTTTGCATGGATTTGTAAAGGTCTAAGGGTAGAACATCAAAAAAAGTAAGTATGTGATTAAATACATCAGTGCATTGGACAAGGAGAGGATGAGGGAGGGAACTTTTACATGAAATTACGAGGTAAATGGAACATTTAGTGTCTAGCACCAAATAAAACTTGCAGTGTAAATGTTTCGGTATACCAAATGGGCTTATAGGCTGCTTGGGAAAATCTTACTCATAACATTGATTTAACAAAGGCTACTGTAGTCTCAAAATGCAGACAAATGGGAGGGTTAGGATGAAGTATATTTCCTATTACTACTTTCTGAATGAATGTATAAATCTAAGTAGGTTCGACTGTTATGGTAGTACTCAGTCTGCCAGCGAGTGTTACAGAACAGGCAACCCCTTACGCGCTCCTCTGTATAAACAGGGAAGAGAGAAGGGGAATGTGGAGTGTGGGTGTCAGTCACAAAAATACAGTCATGAATTAGAGGGAAAGTGTCAACAGTTGTGTTTCCTAACCATATTTTGGAGCAGTTTTGAAGGATTTAAGAGGGAAATCCTCCTCCTAAATTCCGCGAAGTCATGGAGTTCTCAAGCTAAATTAGATCAGTCCCTGAGCTATATTCATTGTAGCTCAGCTATGAATTGATTGGTTCTTGGTGGTGTTCACAGGTGAGGCTTGGGTAGGATTTACCCAAGGTTCATCTCAGCATCCCCCAGAGAATCAGCAGGAGCCCATTGCATGTAATGATTGTGGCTTCACAGTGAACAGGAAGGTCTCTGTAAAGTATGCCTTTATTTTGGGGACTTTTGTTCCTTTCCCTTTAGTTTGTTGGATACAGAGCTGCCCAGTCAAATTACTTGAACTTAAATGTTATGTTGCTGCTTCAGGTCATAATAAACACTGCAGGCAGTTTCTTCTTGAAAGTCCTTACATAGAAAAATAGAGTTTTTCAAGCTGGGCTGTTCATTTCCCCTCAATTTCTCCCTGACACAGTTGGGGCTTTTTATTTCACAGTGGTATGTTCACGCAGATGAATTATTTGATCATTGTGAAATGATACTTGTCACTGCCTTTGTTTTCTTTCTTCATCTGGTGGCAATAAAACTGAGAAGTCAAAAAACTTAGGAAGTGCTCGGCTGAAATGATCAGAGTTGCATCACTGTAACGTGAAATCGGGATCAAGCATCTGTGTTTGGGTTTAGCTCACTGGTATTCTGTTTCTAGTATCATGACTCATTACTTATGCCATTAATGGGCATACTGCTGCTCTGGCAGCATTGAGATTCCAGGGAGCCTTCCTGTGATGATGCTCTACTGTGTCTCACAGAAAGACTGGTATTACTGAAACACTGTCTGCTCTGGAGCTGTGCAGCATCATCCGCATGTTGAGCAAGGTTTCTCAGACGTTATCCTGGATACTGTTTTGCCACAAGGTTGGAGAGCCCTCTGAGGCTTTCTTGGATGTTACCTTTTCATGAAGGGGGTCAGAGTCACTTTTATATGGACAGACAGACAGACAGGGGTAGGTTTAACTCATAAGGAATATGGATTCCTTGCATAACCAGAACTCCTGCAAGTTTGACTCAGCTCAGTGCTGTGGTTACAGTAGGTCTGTCCAGATTAGGATTTCAGTTTCCTCCTCCTGCTTCTTTCTATTTTGGGATCAGTGAATTTAGAGCCACCTATTTAAGTATCTTATATTTTTTGTAATAAAGTCTCAGTGTTCTTTTATTCCATTTTTCTCTCCTATTTGGATTAGTCCTAAACTGGTAAGACCTTAACTGGATTTCCTAGGGACTCTGTTGAAGATCCAAGGCAATAGAAAGACTTTGCTGTGAGAGAGCAGCCCTGCAGCTATTCAGAATTTTGTTTCCATCACACTTATTTGTTTGCATGAAATCACAGAAATGTTATTTGAAGGTGTACTTTCTGCCAGGAAGAATGAAACACAAGCAGTAATGATACAAATGCAGCAAGAGGCAACCCAAACCTGATCACTAGAGAACTCATTAACTTCTCGGGCTGAATAAAAACTGTGCACACGATGCCTGTGGAGGTGCGAGCAGGATGCAGAGGACCACACGTGAAAGTAGAAAGTTGGTCCTCGCCGTTATCATTGGCAGAACAAGAACTTTTTGGACTAGAATGAATGAGAATTGCCATGATTCCCTGCAGAGCAGTGCAGACATACACCCAAACAATAGTTTTCAGATGGCTCGTGCTTTGGTTTTCTATCAGCTTAGAAAAATAGTGTTTCTAAAAGCTTTCTGTTCGCTCAGCTGCTGTGAGTTGGGGTGTAAGTAAAAGAATGGAGCGTGCAAAGGGAAGGGAAAGCAATGAAACACATCAGTGGAATTTCCTTGGTGAAACCTTCTATTATCTCTTGATATTTGACTTAGAGTATAACAGTTGAAAAACTGAGTTATTTTGGATCTAGTTCATCAATCTCTCTGTATTTTTTCCTTCTGACTATGGCATTTCTATTGATGAGTATGATTTATTGTCAGTCAGCACAGAACTAATGCCAGGCAGACCTAGTAGCAATTCATGAAATGGCATAATGGTAACACCCTGGAATTTTCTTCCTTTGCCTCTGTTTTTTTCTAAAGGGGAACAAATAAAAAAGATTTAATTGACTGAATTTTTCCCCTAATCAATTTTGCATCTGAATGTGTTGCTAATGATTTATCATAGAGAAGAAAGAATTTTTGATGCCCCAAGTAGAGCATAACCTTTCATGCCAAAAGCAATTGAAGGGTCAGACTACAATTTCACTGTAATTGCCTTTTTCCCTTTTCACTGTCTCTTTCCAGTAATATACAACAATCAATACAGCATGTAATTAGATTTCATTCAATCTGCAAAGATTAAGAGAATTTTCATCTTCTCATTATGTATGCTCACGTCATGTCTTCTTATGCATGTCTTCTACATTAGACCTCTTTGACCTGCTCTGTTGCAGATGGGGAGGGATAAGTTTGGAGTATTTCCTTGAATTTGACAGATTATCATTCTTTACACATCATAATTTGATTTTGCTCTCTTTGGGAAGATTAAATAGCAATTTCCAGTATGATAAATGGGTTTTATATTGCGTACACGTTTTGTGGAGGAAGGTTAGGGAAAAGCTGGACAATTCACATAATTGCAGCACACTGGCTTAAACTGCTGGAAATAGCAGGTCCTAGGTGCCCAGGACTGATTCACGCAGATGGTGACTCCTGATTTTTAGAGTGTACTGGAGGCAAAGTGATTGCATTTAAAATTCAGCCTGGCAATCTGCATACTTAAAAGGTACAGTAGTATTTTTTAAAGGCCAGTTTATTCTCCATGGGCTTGGGACCAGTTGAGAAGAGTTCCAAATTTCCATATCAAAAGTAAGGGTTGGGAACAGGATGCAAACAGATCCTGCAAATGTCTACATCAGGTTTGCCAAAAAGATGCTTTTACAGCTGGCAACTTCCAGTTGAAGAGTAATTCCTTAGCAGAGAAGAGAGTAAAACCACATGTGCATGGGGGAAGAGTCAGTGTGACTGCCAGCCTTGCATCAATGAAACTGCATTGTCTCATGCACAGACTCTCATGTTAGAGCTATTTCTGTTTGTTAATGGTCTGATGCTTACATAATTATCTCCTTAACATATGGGGGACCGTTCTCAACCATGTGCTTTACTTGTCATGGAATCATAGAATAGTTAGGGTTGGAAAGCACCTTAAGATCATCCAGTTCCAAACCCCTGCCATGGGCAGGGACGCCTCACATCAGCCCATGTTTCCCAAGGCTCTGTCCAGCCTGGCCTCAAACACTGCCAGGGATGGAGCATTCACAACTTCCTTGGGCAACCTGTTCCGGTGCCTCACCAGTTTCTCTGTTTACCACACAGTATAACAGGTATTTTTGGTTGTTCTGGCTCAGTTACTCAAGCTTAGTTAAGCAACCATTGTCACAGGCCTGACCTGAAGGTACTGCAAAGTGATGGTCAAGTCCAAAACACCAATTTCCACTGCACACTGGCTGTGTTAGACTTGATTTACGGAGCTGAGGAAACTCATTGTTAGTGCTTTCTGGAAGGCCAAGATTTTATTCCCCCAAAATAAGGGAAGAAAACATCGTGGGTCAATATTTGAATAGCCCCTATAAAAATATAAGGTAATATTTGAAATAGAATTACTCTGTTCAGGCACTTTAAGGAGAAAAGGTCTAAAGGTTTGGTAGAAAGAAGAGGGTAAATCGCTTTTGTGAAACACGCAAAACTACATTCAACTCTTCAAAGTATTGACAAATAGAAAAAATACAT